CTGAAAGAAAGCCATGGAGGAAAAATTCACTGCACTGATAAAAACCAAAACCTGGAAACTTGTGCCTCTATCACCAACCTAGAACATAGTAGGGAACAATTGGGGTTTTAGCGTAAAACGTAACACAGATGGATCGGTTCAGAGGCTTAAGGTAAGGCTGGTAGCTAAGGGATTTCATCAGGCGTCTGGAATTGATTTTTATGAAACTTTCAGCCCAGTTATTAAAGCATCAACCTTGAGAATTATACTTACTCTGGCAGTGTCAAAGGGATGGACAATTAGGTAAGTTGACATCAATAATGCCTTCTTAAATGGTGAACTTGAAGATGTGGTATATATGAATCAACCGAGGGATTCATAGATAAGTCAAAACTTGATCATGTATATAAACTGGAAAAAACACTCTATAGACTGAAGCAGGCACTAGAGCCTGGTACGATAAGTTGAAAACAACACTGATAAGTTGGAAGTTCAAACAATCTATAGCAGACACATCACTATTTTTCTTCGAGAATGAAAGATAGATCATTTTGCACTCATCTATGTAGATGCCATTGTTGTGATAGAAAATGACACGGAGCTGTTGCAAGGATTTATAAATGAATTGAACAAAAAGATTTGCGCTGAAAGATTGGGACAATTTCATGATTTTCTTGGAATTGAAGTATTGTGGTATGATTCAGGACTTCACCTTACACAAACAAAATACATTGCTGAGTTATTTAAGAAATTTGAGTTGTAAAATCTGAAGCCTTGTCCTACTCATATTCTTGCGGTAAAACCATGTCAAAAGCTGATGGAAAAGTGTTAAAGAGTCCCTCAATTTACAGAAGTGCAGTAGGGGGTTTTGCAATACCTCACACACACCAAGCCTGGCATCACCTTTGCCGTCAATAAATTGAGTCAATTTTTGCAATCACAAACATCTACACATTGGCAGACATTGAAGAGGGTGGTTAGATACCTTAAAGGAACAATGAATCAAGGGCTCTGGATACAAAGATGAGACATACTAAACCTAAATGGATACTCAGATGCAGATTGGGCATCATATCCAGACGATAAGAGATCAACAGCATGCTATTGCATTTACTTGGGAGGCAACCTAATAGCTTGGTCATCAAAAACACAACATGTAGTTCCAAGATCTAGTACAGAGTCAAAGTACAGAGCTTTTGCATCAGCAGTCTCAGAATTTGCATGGATTCAATCCCTATTCAATGAACTTGAGCTGCCATAAATGTTGACCCCAGTTTTATGGTGTGACAAGATGAGTGCAGGTGTCTTAGCAACCAATCCAGTGTACCTTGCCAGAACAAAGTATATTGAATTGGACATTCACTTTATCAGAGATAAAGTTCTTGGAAAGGAACTGGAAGTACGATATGTGCCTTCTTCTGATCAAATTGCAGGCTTATTAACCAAAGACCTCACTCACTCCAGATTCCTCTTCCTAAAAGACAAGCTTGGAGTTACTTCAGTACCGTCCAGCTTGAAGGGAGTGTCAAGAGTTAACGTTCACATAATCAGGTTTCAGCTCCACATCAGCCTCCAACTAAATTGACAACTAACCATCACCTGCTGCTATGTTGCTATCCTTGTTGTATCATTTTCAATTACACAAGAATGTTGCCATTAGTTTTCTGTTGTAAAATAGATTCCCAACATCCTCCATAATTCAAGGAACTAACCTACAGTTGTACACTCTAGAATATTCTCTTCACATTCTTTGTAATATATATTAGAATGTTGCTCAAGCATGAGATCACTGAATTATCATTCAATTGGTTTTGTATTTCTAACTACCTTATTTGAGACAAGAGGGTAATGACAACATCCCTATTTATTATGAGGGGTTCGATCAAAATTTTTGGATATGGGTCATAACCATTATGCTAACGCACAATTTTCGACGGACGAGCACGAGGAGAGGTCCAGGGAATTTCAGGTAAATTTCAGATTTATTAATAATGACCATAATTATCTTAGATATGCGTCAATTATTATCACATCAATGATAGTAGAAATAAAGAGATTTGGCCAGAAAATAGATCTAGAAAATTAAAAATTGGAGCTAACTCATTGAGCATTGTGAGAAGAAAAGAATCGCTGGATTATTCAGTTAAGGTGCCAAGGGAAATTGTTTAAGGGAGTGATGAACAATTTCCAAACCTTAGCCAAGCGACTGACACTTGAGCAAAATGTCATGCAAATGACTAGAACTCCATGAGACTATCTACCATCGCCTCAACCGCCTTCAATTCCGAAGCATTGAGAGCGTAGTCCAATGCATGGGCGGACCAGGGATCCGGGGGGCAGGTGGCCCCCCAACTTTTGAGATTTCCATTTTTTTTTAAATCACGTTTGTTATCGATTGAAATTTAAATTTTAATCGAAATCAAAATCAAAATCAACAATTAATTTTAATAACATATTTTCATGGAATTCATAACTATTTAATTTGTACCAAAATTTACTAAAAATTTGATTCAAATCTCCACCAAACATGGGTAAAATAAAAATAAATTTGAATTTCGAAAGATACAAATTTTAAAAATTCTCCGACGATCGTACGCTAATCGAATCTACAAATTGTTTGTATCATTTCGAAACTTATTTCAAGAATTATATTATGGACATATCGAATAGTTCAAACATATATAGAAAATAGTTAAAATTACGACAAATGTGAACCTTTAAAAAGACGTCTGATTCGCATTTAAAAAAAAAATCAATTATTTCATTAAAATTTATTATTTTTACTATACAAATTTCTTAATGTAATTTTCATCATTTTATTAGGAAATTCTCAAAAAAAAATTCGAAATTTCACATTCGAAAAAGTCATATCCCATGTAAATTTTTGGATGTAAAATTACATGGAGTATGATTTTTTTGGACGTAAATTTTCGATTCTAAAAATTTCTACCAACTTCTTTGCAAGTTCAATTGTGCCCCCCCAACGTTAAAGTTCTGCGTCCGCCCCTGGTCCAATGCCTCGTCGACAACAACCTTCGAGGCAGTTTTCACTCCATGTAGACTTGTCATTTCTTCTATCCAAGGTGATCAGCAGGAATCCTACCCTAAGCCACATTGGATGGGCCTCTGGAGTCCAAGGCGATTAGAGCACGAAGCCTGATGTCATGCCAGTTGTATTAAACTTTGAGTGATGTGCGATAGATTGCTCCAACTCAATGGACAAGCCCGTGGAGTTTACGGCTAACTTGAATGAAAAGTACAAAGCCACGTACTCGATGTCTATTCATCATTGTGATAAGAGATGGTTAATTTCGCTCCTAATTTTCTCTTCACTCTAGTTGGTTCCTCGATCATTTTATGGTAATTGACTATCAAATAACCGACCTAAAGACACAAATCCAAAAAGATCAGAAGTACATTCCCTATGCTATGCACTATCATCTCTACTTAAAAGTCACAATTTCCATAATCAATTATGATGTAGAGTTCATACTTAATCTTGGTCACATCTTATTATTCTCTTAATTCCTTTATCTTATCATATTATGCTGACATACCACGCTATGGTGCCACTTAAAAACTGGTACAGCATATTCTATTTTTGAATTTTGTCTCCATGATATTTCTTAATTATATGTCCTGTGGTTCTTATCAGCATATGGTTAAAAGATTCACTCATAGTTACTATTTTAATTCTTCTTCAGAGACTGTCTTGTTAAGCTATCATTAGCAACTAGTTGAGCAATTAAATATCACAATAAATCATTTCTTCCCTAGGATTACATTAGAAAAAACAGTGTGTTTTGCGCATTTAGTTCTATTTTAACAAGGTTTAAGGCATTTTTATCTCTCCCCAACACTAAATCTTAATCTGCAGTCTTCTGCTAAGAGACATCAGACATGGAAAATATCAATTGTCCTGCTTAAAAGGATCTAGATACAACTGTCCACGGGAGCCCAGGGTGGGGGGTGCGGGGTGGGAGAGGCATCCTTTTGCACCAACATACACAACTTTGACATGCAAGTTTATCACAACCGTACAAGAGCAAGATTCACTTATAATAGAATCATAGAACTATATAATGTACATGTAATGTGTTCATAATATGCACATGAGCTTAAGAACAGGGATGCAAACAAAAAGTTCAAAGAAAAAAGCCAAAAACTACATGCAATATAATAAAAGTAATTTGGTCCCGCAATTTGTGAGGCTGTTACACTTGTTCTATCACGTTAATACACAAAACAACACCCATTACTCTCCACGAACCTTGACTCGGAGAATAATGTGGGCATGCAGGATCAGATAGAGTAAAAACCAGAATCTACACAAAACACAGCAGAATCAGATAAACTAGTGTTTAATCAATCAGGTTAATAGAAGTGAATTAGACACAGCATAAATGAGCATCTTATTCACTTCTTTTGCCCCTAAGATGCCTATACAAGCTACGAGATTAAGATTCAAGACGATATATTTTGTGAATTATCCAGAAATTACCATTTATGGCTCATCAGAGAAGGATTTTCATTAGTTGAAGTTTTCTATATATTAGAGATTGAAATGTTTTACTACTTCTCTTTCACCCTTAATACTTTAATTTCCCAAACTGCACATTTTCAAAATAACAGGTAACAACAAACTTAATACAAAAACCATACGAATTATGTGTATCAATGCAGACACCACCACAACATGATAAATTGAAGAGTAGAGACATAAACATATACACATAAAATAATATCAAGCATTAAAAAATTTGAAAGCTTCTTGTCTAAGGGAAAGACATAGGAAAATTCACAACACCCATTCCAACCCATAAAGAAAAACGTTGCTTTCCCGATCTATTTCTTTAAACATAACGTAAGTTATCTTATCTCCGTATGTTCAATATTTTAAGGAATGTCAGCATCTGCATGAAGCCATAAACTCCCACCTTATATACTGTACCACTGTGCTTGCAAGAGATACTATTGGTCAGAGTGCCCTCAGGAGACAAAAATAAAGAAAGAAAATTTCCATGGATGAAAAATCCATCTCCGATTCCCATTTTCCTCCAGGAATCAGGTTTCATCCATCTGATGAAGAACTGATTGTTTATTACTTGCAGAAGAAAGTAAATTCTCTTCCACTTCCAGCAAACCTGATGGCTGATATAGAGCTTTATAAATATAACCCTTGGGAGCTACCCAGTTTGTTCTCTACCTACTTCTCTTGGTTCTTTATTATTATTTTTTATTAGATAGAGTATTCATATTTCAGGATATTATAATTCTTTTAGTTTTGGTTTTTGAAATATACAGGGAAGGCTGTGTTTGGAGAAGATGAATGGTACTTCTTCACCCCAAGGGTTAGGAAGTACCCAAATGGGAGAAGACCCAATAGAACAGCTGTTTCAGGTTACTGGAAGGCTACTGGCACTGATAAACCAATTGTTGGTTCTTCTCGATCAGGCAGGATAGGGGTTAAGAAAGATCTCGTCTTCTATAAAGGTAAAACACCAAAGGGGGTAAAGACAGATTGGGTCATGACTGAGTACAGACTGCCTGACACGACATGTAGACCGTTAAGGTCTAAAGGGTCCATGAGAGTAAGCAGATCCACATTATCATTGATTACCAATTACATATTCTTTAATATAAACTTCCATTATTTACTGAAACTTATTATCTGTAAAAGCTATTTTGTGAGCAGAAAATAGTTTTCCATCTAAACTCAAGCACCTAAAGTCACACCAGAAGCATATTAATTTAACAATGATTATTGAGTATGAAATGCATAGAAACATATGTCGATCAATATCTACTTGTTTCATGAAACATATTATTGTGACCTATCTTAGCTCTGAACAAAAATAGCTTGGAGCAGTAAAGTCTTCAGCTACCAAAAATGTTCTATGCCATGTGGTCCATAATTTTCAATATCCACATTGGATAATTAAATGTGTAAGCGTATGATTACATGTCATAGATTGTGCAAATATGTATTTAAGGGTAAGGAATCATGCATAATGGAAAGATTGTCATTTGTACGCAGCTGGATGACTGGGTATTATGTCGCATTCGACAAAAAGGCAACAAGTCAAAGAATGAATGGGAGGTTCAACAGAATCCTAGTGAACTTCTGGAGTACCTTCCTAGGTTTGAGGAGTTCCCTTCAGTTTATATAGATGATGGCAGTGACATGATTGAAGATTATTTTTTATCAAATGGCTGTCACATAATAGCTTCCTTACGCGATGGACATGACCCGACGATTGAAACTATTCCTAGAGCAACCTTTCAAAGCAATAGCAGTGAAACAATTAAGAGTCACAGGTTGGGAACAGTAAATACTCCGGAAACAAATTCTGCGTTTCAGAGTTTCTTCAACTCACTACCAGGCCAACCTAACAAGGAAGATTGGTGTATGAATTCTCAGCTACTTACAAAGATGATCTATAATGAACACAAAGATGAGGACCTTCTATCAGGAAACATGGTAGCTGCAGGAGATACAAACTTATATATTCAACATTTGTCTGAAGGAGACAAGATCAACTCTAATAAGTCAAATATCGTCATGAACGTGCAGCATCTTGATAGGCCAACATTTTCTGAAAATTTCTTCAATGACAGAGAAAACTTCACCCCAAAAGGAAATTGTTCTTGACACTGGTGTGCAGTAACAAAGCTACATCCTTGAACATCATAGATTTACACCTTCAATAAGATGCCACAAAGCATATTGTTCTATATACCCCCAGCATCATCAACTATTAATACCTATCAGACTATGTAATTCATGCTTATAAGTCGTGTTATGGCTATATACTTAATAAATAATCAAACGTTCTATGTTCTAAAATTTTTATTGCTATAGTTTGGTTTCTTTTAGTTCTAATGTTAATACATGAATAATTTCATGACTGCTAGCAATCTCAAAACAAAAAATATATTTTAATTTGTTATTTCTCATCTTAAGGTTTCATGAAACAGCTGTGTTTGGTGCAGCCTGAATACTTTTATTGAATTTGACTAGCTCAGTCATAGAAAACATTTAACGGCCAAAGAGAAAAGACATGATTTTCATTTAGGATTTTGTCTACCAGAAGCATCGGAAGTTTGAATTTTAAGAGCAAGTTGTAGAAGATTTTTGTTAGGATATTTGACACATGACAGAACAAAGATCCATTTGTCCCAAATCACCATTTTCGAAAGCATATTGGAGAAGTCCTGCTAGTTAAATGATCCATGACTTGTAAGTAAAAAGGTTCTCCTAGTTCATCTAAAGCATAAATTTGGCTCAATCAAGCATATAATTCACTAGATAGGATAATATTTATGCAGTGTTTAAGAATAAAAGGGAGAAGGAAATTGTGTTTGGTGCACCACATTAAACCTTACGAAAAACTAAGAAGAAATTTAGAATCGATAGTAGTAAGTGGATTGTATGACGGTGGATTAAGGTGGATAATATTATTTCATCTTTTAGTCAAAAAAATGTGATTTACACTATCAACCATATAACTCAATGCGGAGTGTGGAGAACTGGAGATGGTCTTAGACCTGATAAAATAAATAGTATAGATATTACATTTTTTTAACTAAACGATCAAGAATTTATGTGACTTAATCCACCATAATACCATCCACCTACTAGTATCCATTCTAATTTTATACTAAATTCTTTTTACAATCTATATTGGTGCACCAAACACAATCTTAGTTTTGGCTCTATCACATCTAAGATATATGAGGTGGAAGGTATAGAAATACACAATTGAACCAAAGTAGATTAATCGTACTCAATGATAATTACAGGTAAAACATAAACAGGCTGAGCAATGTGCAGGTTATGCAGGTTATGAAGCTGGCAACAATATACATATGGATTAGCACCTGTGGATCGCTTTGCAATCTAAGATATTACTCCAGTAGTGATTATAAATCGAAACCATTGAATGCAGGGGGATAGAAGAGGCTTAGCAGAGACTAGACAGATGTAGTTTATAGGGTGACTACTGACTATCGTTGTTTCAGGCATATATGTTTTTCATAATGCTTGTAAAGTCCTTTAATCTTTCTTTTAGCAAACATCTGAAGCACATTAAATACATTCTAGCAACAAAATCATACAAGATATAGAAGAAACTAGCGCTGAAAATAGATGATTACACATCAATAGAAGGAAATGACAAAATCATGGTACGCACTGGAAAAACTTGAAAACTTCTTGATCGGAAATGAACTCAACAAACTAAGAATATGTACTTTCCATTTAGAAAAGAAGGCTGTTCATTCACGGAAGAAAATGACTTATTTACCAGTAAAAAATTATATTGAAGAGAACTAGTTCAAACAGAATTACTAGTCTTCATTCTTCAAGTCTAGTTAATTTATGATAATTCCAAAGATAAGGATTGATGCATCAAACATACAGGTGCTCAAGAAAAATGGAAGTCACAATCCACCGATGAGGTATTCTAAATCATTCATTTCAGTATACTGCATAAGATTGAAGAAGCATGCTATTAGAATAACAATTTGGTAAAATGATTCTGCTAGGTCAACAATTTCATACTTTCACAAGCAGAGATTTTAGTTTTTTAGCAGTGTAGGTAAATTTTAGATAATGTTGGCTTGCCACCTCCAAGCTTCCCCAGACATCAGTCTCAGTCTGAGAATCGCTGTAATTTAATTGCTCAGTGCTCACTCTTGTTTACATAAGCAAGCATTGATCAAATGCAAAGCATATAAAATCTGTAATGCAGCCGCACATACACACTATAAAGGCTGAGCAAGACATACTCCAAAAATCATCACTTCCTTTTCAAATCAAACTACATGTTGATATTTGCAATGTTGACAATGCATTGATATAATTCATTAAACATCACAGGTGCTATGGAAAGCAGTAAGTTCAAGACCATCCATGAAGTACCACAAAATCTTAAGTACTGAGACATGATATTTAACGTGAATCTTAAATCATGCGTACAAATGAAAAGGACAGAAGCTCAATTGTACAAATAGGAAGCAATTCCCAGAATAATACACAGAAGAATGATATCCATGCAGAAGTTTCGACCGGACCTTATCTGTAACAAATAATTTCAAAATAGAAATTCAATACAATGAGAAAGCCGATCTGAAGTAATACAGTTTTACATTTAAGTTTAAGAAAAATCACTTGTACATACCTTGAAAATTGTTTCTTCTAGTCTAACATTACTATTTTTTAGGTCAGTTGTTTCAGGACTGCTAAGCAAGTAGTTTTCTAGAGTGAACAAAATGTTTCAGACCTTCGTATCAATTTCGTCAATCAATGGAACCTGCCTGTCCAATTCCTAAACTCAAGGGAGAAAAGGGGAAAAATGGAAGAAAATCAGTTTCAGAATTCTTCATTCGGTAACAAATAAGAAACATAATGCAACCAACAAACCTCATTCATATCAGCAGCCAAATTCTTAAGTGTGTCCAGACCTTCTGATATTATGTCTAAACCTTGATCCTGCAGGAAATCAAATTCAAATACTAGAAATATTGAACTGTACTTGGGTAGGAAATTGTGTATAGAGATAAAGCAAATGGATCAGGTAAGTTACAAGCCTGCTTTATCTTCTGCATTTCATAGTCTTGCCTGAATTGATTCGACTCTTCATCTTTTTTGAAAGAAATGATCATAAAACTGTTCATCTGGTATTTCATTTGTGAAGGTTATGAGAAATCCAATAATAGAAAGATCGATATTTCACTACAAATCCAGTTTATACTAATCATCGAACCAACAGTAATCTAATCACCAGAGTCAAATTTTATATTTTTATGAGATGTTGAAGCCTGGGTTCCGTCAGGTATTGCTTTAATTCTCTCTGGAAGTGCTAGAACCAGGTCCTTACGAACTTCTAGTTCTTCTATTGTGAGCCCTTTGACCTGTTAACAAAGTAATCATCATCAGAACTTGAACTTTGTGGGACAAATTAAGCTGCAATACCTGTCGATTGACCAGAGACGTCTGACACTTGCTGAGTTCAAAAGCTCTTAACAGAAATTCCCATGAGGTGAAAATATATATTTGTGTAGACAATTTCTTGTAACTTTCAATGAAAAAAAAAAAAGAGAGAGGAGATAGAAGATTAAAGTATTCCTTTCCAAATTCATCTTTCCCACTCAATTACATTTATTTTCATCTCAGAGAAGAGAAACAAACTTGACAAATTCCAGAATTAAGAAATTGATCTCCACTGAATCAAAAAGGAGAATAGTAAAATAACAGAATGAAAGCAATTCAAAGACGGTTCATCCATCAATTCCAAGTGAACTCTTCTCCTCCATCGTGTATTGACATATATGAACTAATTATTCAATTTCAACCAAATTGAGCCTAATTAATTATCAGCAACACCTCCTATATATGAAGAATAACTGGAAGATGTCATTGACCTTTGATGCTTTAATAAACATATAAAAATGCGAATCATCTAAAAACACAAAAGGAGAAAGTAAAAATGAAAAAAACTAACTCTTCTCTGAGAAAGTTTCTGCAACTCAGGAGCTTCGTCCATAAGCTTGGCCTTAGTTCGCCGCACCTCAGCATTCATCGCCACCACAGCCGCCCTGTTTGTCTCCATAGCTGCCATCTCAGATTTCTGTTCGTTAAAGTGGAAATTGACGATCGAATTATGGATCAAATAACGAAAAATACGAATCACGATTGTGTAAAAAAAAAAAATCTACATGCAGGACGGCCTCAATTTGGAACTCAAAAGAGCCTTACAGGCATGCAAAGGCATCATCGGAGGAAGCATTCTGCGAACGTTACTTTCCGATATCATAGTTTTCGTATTTCTTGCAGATGGAATCGACCCTGAAAAGAATGTCAATCACACTTATTTTGCCCCCTTTTTCCAAGTTTCTGGTTATTTTTTTGGGGATTGACAAATTTGCTGTAAGGGAAGAGAGAATCAGAGAATAGTTGTGGACAAGGAGAAGAACAAGGGGTTTTTTCATCTGATTCTGCCATTGTTTGCTTCTCTTTGACGAAGGTTCACCGTTATTAGCGGTTTATGTATGGCGTTAGCGGGGGAAACTACAGCTTCCCCATTTGGGTGTCTTGAGTGTCAACGGCAATATGGAATTTTGTTAATTGCCCTTTTATGAACATTGCATTATTGGTCCTCAGCGTATTACTTAGCTAGCATGTTAGTCTTTAATTTTTAAAATATAGCAAGTTAGTCCTCATAATTTTCCTGCCATGGACATGTTAGAAATTTTCGTGAAATTGTTAAGTAGCCCTCATAAAATATGCATATGTTTAAATTTTTTTTGACACCAACCCAAGTCGAAAATCAAAACCTAACTTCATTCCGTTACATATATAGAAGGGTCTAGAAATTTTAGTAGAGATTTAGACAATTTTTTATCGTTGATGATTAAATATATAATGAAAGATTGAAGGCCAAACTTTTTCCTTTTCGAAAGTTGGAGGCCAACTTATTCAATTTCAATAAACGTAGACAAGAAAAGCATGTTGGGAAGTGTTTATAAATAAATAAAAATGAACCGTGAATCGGTGTGTAATATTCGTGGGTTCGACTCTGTATGAGCCAAACATGGGATGTCAAAAATGTTAAGCAGTCTACACTTACGTGAATTGGCTTACAATACAGT